CCGAGGTCGACGTCCTCGGCGCGCGGCCACTGTGAGTAGGGCACGTTCTTGCAGAAGGCCTCCAGGACCTTCTCCTTCACCTGCGTCAGCGTGTCGGTGTCCACGGCCCGCACGCTCAGCGAGTCCATGCCGCAGCCCTGGAAGGACACGTTCAGGTTCTGCGGGAGAGAGCGGCAGGTGAGCGAGCTCCCCTCACTCCCGGCCCGGGCGGGCGGGGCGGGCCCGGGGCGGCGGGGAGCCACGCGCCGCCCCCACGCGGCTCACCCGGGGCTTGGCCTCGATGTTCTCCCGCAGCAGCCACTCCTCGTTGAGGGTGTAGCGGGCCTTGCCCGTGATGGCGTCGATGGAGCCCTTGTTGATCTGCTGCTTGATGGCGCACAGGAGCAGGAAGAACGGCTCCCCGACGGTTTCCTGGGTGAGCGTGGCCCTGTCAGCTCCTCCTGGGCACCCCAGGTCCCAGCCCCTAAGCCTCCGCCCTGGCGGGGTCCCTGCCTGGGGCCTTCCCTGCCCCTGGACCAGCACCCCGAGGCTGCCTGCTGCCGCCCTCTGGGGCCCTGGTCCCCAGCACCGTCCCCCAGGGGTTCCAAGCTTGAACACCGGCCCCAGGCCATTCGTGCCCCCAGCAGCCTTCCGGGCACCAGGTACCGGCCTCACTCCGAGGCTCAGAGAGGGCGAGCGACCTGCCCAGGTCGCCAGCAGGAAGTGGCGCGGCTGGACCTGAGCCCTGGGTGGCTGGCTCCCCGGCCGTGCCCCTCGCTACGCCTCGCAGGGTGAGTTCAGGTGGAACCAGAACACGGACGTGGCCTCGAATAACCTAAATCGCAGCCTGGCAAGAGTGGAGCTGGCGCCCCAAGCAGCCCTGCCTTGGCATCCCCCTCTTTCAGAAGGGGTGAAGCTGGAAAGGGACTCGGCCGCCATGGCCCCCTCAAGCTGATACGGCCACTGTCTAGCGGGTGGCCCGGCTGTACAAGTGGTGAGTTGACTTAGAGAAAGACTAAGAGCGTAATTATCAGGGAGACCTGGCAGACTGAGCCCGCGTGCCAGTTCTTCCTGAGCTGCCGAGGCCCCTTGGGGAGGCTTGGCAAGGCCCAAGGGGCCAGGGGCTGGGTCCAGAGTGCACCATGGCCACTGTGGGCTGGTCTCCCCTGACAGCCAGGATAGGCAGCAGTGAAGACGGAGACCAGGCACCCCGAAGGCCCTTCCCCAGCCAGCCGCCCCCATTCCACCCCACACCCCCACTTAGCAGGGCCTAGGGGCTCCTCCAGACTCCTGGGAGCCCTGGGCCATTTACCAGAAGCCAAAGCAAGGCCCAGTGACTTGTCCAGGGTCACACAGGTGGTCTGTACCAAAGACCAGATGGAACCCGGGACATCTGAGGCCTACCTCTGGGCTCCAGCGGGCTTTCTCCACGACCCCACATGGCTCCCTGACCCCTGCTTCCCAGGGAGGGGATGGAGGGACGTGCCCATCCCCTCTCGGGTCCGTTGTGCAGCTGCGCGAGAGCACCCCTCCTCCCAACCTTAGCCCGCGCTGCACCACAGCCTGCAGCTCCTGCCCCACCTGCTCCAGGAAACACCCTGAAGCCCCAAGCAGGGCCAGAGCGCGCTCAGGGCTGAGCCCCACTGTGGCGCTTACTGCTGTGGTTTAAGTCCAGTGTCCACATCTGTGTCCGGGGCTCGGGCTGCTCTCCCAGGCCCAGAGGCTCACGGGGGTGCGAGGACTGAGAGGTGCTGATGGCCTCGGCTCTGCCCCCGTTGCTCCCCACCCTGGCGGGGCCTGGCCCGCCTGAGCCTCGGCTTCCGGCCCGCGACGGGCCCGGGCCCCCCACGGCGCGGCCCACGGCTCACCCGCAGGCAGCTGTACATGCAGATGGACATCCAGTTGGTGAGCATCTTCTCCACCACCGACTCCGTGCGCCGCAGCATGAGCTTGGGGTTCTTGGCGGCCGAGGCGTCGATGAGGTCCACCAGCAGCTCCTTCATGATGCCCGTGTAGTACTCCAGCTTGCCATGGAGCGCGATGGTGAGCAGGGAGGCCAGGCTGCACCTGTGGGGGCCTGGGTCAGCACCCACCCCGCCTCAAAGACCTGGGCCACGGGGCGGGGCGCCCTGGTGATGAGGAGGACGGCCCCCCACCCCAGCCACACCTGTGCAGTGAGCGCGGCTGAGGCGCATCTGGGATGTCCCGGGAGGGGGACGGGGCCCGATGCCGGGCGATGCGGGCTGCCCAGGGTCGGCGGGCGTGCCCGGTGGCCCTCCCCGCGGCCGCCGCTGACCTGTCCCGCACAGCGAAGTCCTTCTGCTGCTCCAGCGCGTGCACGAAGACGATGAGGAAGTGCTTGTTGTTGAGCAGCGAGGAGAACAGGCTGATCCCCTCTTCCATGTTGGGCCGGCAGCTCTCGGGGACCTGCGGCAGCAGCGGCGGGGTGAGGCGGCGGGGCCCGGCACCTCGGACGCTGGGCCGAGGCCTCCTGTGGCTCCGTGGGCAGCAGAATGGGGCCCCGACAAGCGCCTGGGCGGGGCCCCCTGGTCTTCAGATCTCTAAGCAGCAGCTGCTGTGGGATGGCCAGTGCTCCCCACCTGGCCTGAAGGTCAGCTGGTAAAGCACCCTGACGGGGTGCTGGGCCGCTCCTGGGATGGGCGCTCACTGCCTTCCAGTGGCCGCCACGCTCGGGGCCAAAGGGTCGGATGAGCTGAAGACTGGCAGGTGGGGGGGTGTGCGTGCGCACGAGTGAAGTGGGGTGCTCACCTTCCACTCCCCCAGCAGGGGGTGGGTCTCCTGCACGGGGGAGCTGCCCTGGGAGTTGACGGTCTGGGGGGGCAGCACGTAGCACTCTTCGTAGACAGAGGAGCACTGTGGAGGCAGAAGCAGCAGCTCGGAGGGCCGCGGACCCCGCAGGCGGGCAGGAGCCGCTCGGCAAGCCAAACGGCCAGGGAGCGGTGGGGCCCGGCCCGGGACCCCTGGGAGCCTGAGGCCGGGAGCCTCAGAACTGCCTACAGGGGAGAGTGCACGGGCAAAGGAGGGAGCAAGAGCTGGTCAGTGTGGAATGGGGGAAACTGAGGCAGGAAGGCTGGCAGGGCCAGGCCGTGGCCTCTCTGGGCTGCTGTGTGGAACTAAAGCAACTGTGGCCCTGGAGAGGGCACTGGCCGCCGTCATAAATGCCCTGAACGGGCGACGGAGGTCAGGACAGGCGGTGGTCCCGGAGGGGACCCAGGCAGGAGGGGCGTGGAGCCGGCCAGGCTGGCAGTGAGCGGCCAGTGGCCTCGGGCCCGCCCGCACCGAGCGAAGACGCAAGCCCAGCAGCCCTGCTTCTGTACAGACAGAAGTGAGCAGGGGGAACGTGGGGGGACACAGCCCCCTCCCTCGGCGCCAGGCCGGGCTGCACCGCTCAAGGGGCCCCCCCGCTGAGCTCCCCTCCCGCCTAAAGTGCCCTCGAGGCTGGCCGCAGCGGGAGGCCGGGGCGGGCTCGGCGGCCTGACCTTGGGGAAGAAGGTGCGGGTCACGAAGTGCTTGTACTCCAGGAAGGGGATGCCCTGGCTGCGGTTCAGCTCCTTGGTCAGGTCCGTCATGTCCGTCTGCAGCTCAGCAAACCCTGGCGGGCGGGGCGGTGAGCGGCGGGACCCCCCCCCCCCCGGGGACCGGGGCCCACCGTCCTGCGGCCCCCACCTTTGCGGATCTCCTCTCGGATCTGAGACTCCATCTCCTCCATCTGCAGCAGCGTCTTCTGCCAGTAGCGCTCGGCCCGGCGGCTCTTGGTGCAGAAGACGAACAGGGCTGTGGGCAGCAGAGGCGGCTCAGGCCTGGCAGGCGCCGGGGGGCCGGACCCGCCCGGCACAGGGCTGGGGGCGGGGGTCCCCCGGGGAGAGCGAGCGCGGCTTCTGTGCCACGGCTGGGCATTTTTCAGTTTTTTCTCTGCGACCAAGTGTTAACTTGCGAATTAAGTAAATTAGACAGCAACATTATAACCTCTTTCTGGGGCGGAGAGAATCTGTGTCTTATGTTTTTTATACATAGTCCAGAGCGTGGGGACACCCCGGGTGGTTACAGAACGAGTGGCAGCCAGGGGCCGGCCCACACAGGACGAAAGGGTGGGGACGTGTTCCTGTCACCTCCTGGCCTTCTCTCCTGCCTTGAATATTTACGTCCTTGGAAATCGCCCTAAGGACATGTAAGTACGCGCCGTAATCCACTCCCGAAAGTGTGCCAGCCAGTGGCTTTTAGCTGGGCACAGAACAGTGCCTGCCCCCGATGCCCGTAGCCGCTGGCTACCACCCCGCCCCCGGCACTGCTGACCTGCGTCCCTCACCATGGCGTTACCCAGCCTGGACACCTCAGGGAAAGTAAATTGCATAACTTATGTCTTCTGGAGCCGGCTCCTTTCATTCAGCCGAGAAATGCAATTTCCCAGGCCGCAGCTGGCTCCGCACGCCTGCTTAGGGCTCAACGACCCCCCGCGGAACGAGAGCCCCCATCCGTTCACCAGCTGATGGCCGCTGGGGTCACCCCGCCTCTGGGCATTAGGCCGGGTGTGGACGCGCGTCGCCCAGGAGGGGCACACGGCGACCGTCCCGGAGAGAGCTGCTTTCCCGAAGCCCTCGCCCGTTCCTCCCTCCAGCGATGGGTGCGGGGCAGGTGACCTTACAGTCACGGTCTTGGCAGCTAAACTAAGGCGCAGCCGGGCGACACTCAGCGATGGGGACAGCTTCCGGGGTCGCCGCAGCAGAGACGCTGCCCGACTTCGCCGGGACAGTGCACGCAGTGGCTGGCTGAGTGACGGCCGGGACTGCGTGTGGGTCGCCTTCCCTGGCCCCCCCCCGCCCCCCCAGCTCCCTGCCGACTGGCGGACAAGGCCCCAAAGGCGCAGCCTGGCCCCGCAGCTTCGGCGCCCTGCAGCCCCGTGCTGCGCCCGGACGCCTCCCCGCTCTGGCTAAGCTGTTTCACCCCCCAGCCTTGGTCCAGCCGCACCCCAGCCCACTGCGGGTCTTCAGAGGAGCGGGGCAGGGGGAGGGGCCGGCCCGCCGCGCCCAGGCGCCTCACCGACCACCGACAGCAGCAGCAGCACGCTGCAGATGACGATGGACACGATGATGGCGGTCTCGCTGCCCCCCAGCTGCAGCGTGGCGATGGTCTGGTTGAAGTTCCCCACCTGGACCTGTGCGGAGCGGAGCTGGCTGAGCTTCCCCGACAGGCACTGGGCCCTGCTCATTAGCGTAGCGAGGGGCAAGTGACCTAAGCCCTCTGAGCCTCAGACGCCACAGCTACCCCTGGAGGAGGCAGGACTATAATAAACTAGGTGACGCTTGTCCAGCCACGGCCCCGGGCCGGGGCACGGGGGCTGTGATGACCACGACAGCCGGAGAAGAGCCAGGGGGGCGAGGGCCAGCCGTCCCCGGGGCCTGGCTGCGGTCTGGCGCCAGGAGACCGTGGTGGGGGTCTGAGCCCCCGGAGCGGGCTGGGGGAGGGCGAAGGCTCCTCCCAGTCGGGGCCGCCCCCTGAGGGCGTGAGACCGTCCCGGCCTGCGGGTGACCCTCGCTGCTCCCGCCTCCCTCCCCACCCCCCACCGGCTGGGACGCGGCTCGGACTCCTCCGGCACCAAGCGGGCTGGGGGTGGGGCGCAGGGGGAGTCGCCGTGGCCCCTGAAAACCCAGCCCCAGCAGGTCAAGCTGGACCCCCACCCCACCCGCTGGCCTCGGGCAGGCCACGAAGCCCTCGGGCTCAGCCCTGAGCTCCAGCGGAGGACGCGGCCGCCACGTGGGGGAGGGGAGCGGGGCCTCAGCGCCCAGGGCACTCACCGTGATGGGAAGCTGCCCCTCCGCTGTGCCCAGGGACTCGTTGACCGAGCAGTGGATGACCCTGTCCGAGACGATCTGGATGTCGCAGGCCACCTGGCCGATCTTGACCCGGTACTCGTGGCTCTCGAGCTCCAGGCTGTCCTGCTCCTTCTGCGGCGCAGCAAGGGGGTGCTTGTTGGGGGGGGGGCGCCCACCGAGGCCCGGGGCTGGGCCCTGCCCCTGCCAGCCCTGCCGGCCCCCGCCGGCGCTCACGTGGATGACCAGGGTCAGGGGCTCCCCCGGGTGGTGCTTGATCCACTTCTCCCTCTTGGCTGTAGAAAACTGCGGGTCGGGGAGGTAGTCCAGGCGGAACCTGCTGCTCCGCTGTGCCTCCTCGGAGTCCAGCAGCTCCTCCGCCGCGGCCAGCTCGTCCGCGTAGGCCCGGCCGTTGATGAAGAATTCCACCGGCGCCGAGGCGTTGCTCAGGGCCCCGGGGGACGGGCAGGTGATGAGGGTGGCGTTCAGGACCTTACAGAGCTGGCGGGAGAGGGCCGGGCCGAGGTCAGGGGGGACGGTCAGGGGGGACGGACGGACCGAAAGGGGCAGGCGCGAGGGCGAAGGGGACAGACGGGGCGAGGCGCGCTGGGGGGCAGACGGGAAGCGGGACAGCCTCGGAGCGAGGCCCGGCACGGGCACCCCAGCCTGCCCCCCGCGCCCCGGCCCACCGTGGGCTCGCGGCCGATGCGGTGCACAGCCATGGACACGTTCTGCACCATGTGGAAGCGCTCGCCGGCCACCGTGATGGTCCTGCCGCCGCTGTGGGGACAGCACGCCGTCAGCCCGTCCGCGGGCGCTGGCGGGGGTCGGCGTGAGTCAGGGGGGCCGGACCTCACCTGACAGGGCTCCGGCGGGGGCTGATGGCCGTGATGACCGGGTTCCGCATGTACCAGAAGGTGAGGTTGCCGCCCACGCAGCCGCGGTGCTCGAAGCGCACACACACGGGCACCGAGGCGGGCACCGAGGCGGGCAGGGCACCCCCGGGCACCGTGCAGGCGATGCTGGCCTCCGTGCGCCTGTGGGACGCTGCGTCAGGCCCCCGCCCCGCGGCCCCAGCTGCCGCCACGGCCCACCGGACGCCCCCCGCTTACACGAGCTCGGTGCAGGGCTCCGTGTCGTTCACCAGGACCTGCAGCTCCGAGCCCACGTGCAGCTCACTCCCGTGGACGGTGATCCTGGTGCCCCCGGCCTTGGGGCCCACAGCCGGCTCCAGGGAGTGGACCAGGGGCAGCTGGGGGGAGGCAGGGTCAGGGCTTGGCCGGAGAGGCGTGGGGGCAGGCGCTGGTGGGGGGCGGGCCCCTTACCACGTAGGAGAAGCGCTCCCGAGACTTGCCCTCCGTGGAGGCGTTCACCGTCACCACGTCCGCGAACACCCCCGGGGCTGGCCCGGTGGCGCACACAATCCTGGGGGGCAGCTGCGGTCGGGGGCGGCCGGCCGGGCAGGCGCCGCCCGGCCGCTCCCCCGCACACCGCCCCATGACACCCCAGCCCTGTGCACTGTGACGCTCCTGCCCCATCAGCTAGGAAACCCCTCTCCGGGCCTCTGGGCCCCGAGGGCTGGCAGAGGTCCCCTCCGCACCCCCGCACCCCCTCAGCGCTCCCGGGCCCCGTGGCATCAGAAGAGGGCGAGGGGGGTGAACAACGGGCCCACTGGGGAGTCCCCAGCCAGCCTGGCACTTATGGCAAGGCTCCCGGAAGGAGGCCGCCCCGGCCCGCTCTGAGGGCCCAAGCAGCCACGCTGCGGCCTCCCACCCCCCTATCAGCAAACCACGTCAGAGCAGTAACGTGGGGCAGGGAGGCCGCGGTTAACACGGGGGTTCCGGGCGCAGCGGGCCCTGAAGGGCAGAGGGGAGTCCCCCTGCAAAGGCCTGCCGTGGGGGATGGCTCAAGCGCGGCCGGGGGCCCCGAGGGAGGGACCTCCGGGACCAGCACCACAGCGAGGAGGCGGGCCGGGGGCAGGCCGCGTCCGGGGGCAGCGATACTCACTCCTCCGACACCGTGTACCGGTCGGCCAGCGGCTCACAGGCCACGCTGCCGATCCACACGCCCTGGGCCACGTCGCTGAACCGTCGGCCCAGGTTCCGGCCACGGATGGTCAGCAGGGTCCCCCCTTCCAAGGGGCCACTCAGGGGCTCAATCTGCCAGGAGACCAGAGAAAGGGACGAAAGGGGTCAAGGCTGCGTCACCAAGCAGGTCGCCGGGACTGTGTGTGCACTGCCGGGGCCCGGGGGCGTCCCTGCCCACGGGCGCAGTCAGTGTCCTGGGGAGGCCCGGGTGGCCGCGTCTGACCCCGGAGCCGCATCTCAGCAGCGCTGCTGGGCCGGGACGAGCCGCTGAGCCAGGATACGCCCTCGGAATCCGCCCCGAGACTTTTCTCCCGTCTTCAAAGTGTCTGTGAGCGCGCCTGAGCTTATAAGATTACGCCGAGTGTTACGTGGCCTCCGAGCTCATTTTCCTTCCTCTAGGAGGGGCCTGCCGTGGCCATTTCAGCTGACCCCCACACACCCCAGCGCCCCACCCCTCCGCTGGCGAGTGGCTGCTGGCTGCCGTCTGTTTTGCTTGGTCACGTCACCGTGGCGAGCCTGCTCTGTGCCGGCGAGGCTGAGAGCGCCCAGAATTTGCCCAGGTGCCGGCTTGCTTTGCCACACTCGGCTCCCTTGAGCTCTTCCCCTGTGCATTTCCCATTTCCCATGTGAAATGTCAGCAGTGACATTTCATCCTGCCCTGGCGGCATCGCGTTAGCCGCGCAGACAGACCACATCTTAATCAGCTCTGTCAGCTCAAACTCCACGCGGAGCTCTGGGTGGTCCAGTTACCACATCGCGGACGGCGAGGCCTCCGGTGACGCTGCCTGCTCTTCCCGCCTCTCCTCGGCTCCCACACCCGCCTCGCTCCCTATAAGCTGTTTATTTCCTTACTCATCTCCGCCCCTGGCCCCCCAGGGCACTGCTCCCCACCAGACGTGTGTCGGCAGAGACTCCCAGCAGGAGCTTGTAGGTAACAACCCTGCGATTGCAAGCCCGGCCCAGGGGGGGCACCGTGGGGGTGCACACGGCTTCCGGGCTGGGGGACTCACCATTCGGATCTCAGGGGCGGGGCAGGAGCCCGGCAGGGGCTGCAGGGGGCCCCGCAGGCGGCAGCCGTCACTCCACACACACAGGTGACCCAGGTCCTCGCGGCCCAGGCACTGGGAGCAGTCGGGGCTGCCCACGGCGCAGTTGTAGACCTCCACTGGGGAGACAGGCAGCTCGGTGAGCCCCCCCGCCCCCCACGGTGTCCCACGGCGGCAGGGGCCCCATCAGACGCACAGTACCTCTCCCCCGCTCCCCGGGCCTGTGCTAAACACCATGATCCCACCAGGAGAGCTGCGTGTCAGCCCCGTGGGCCAGGCGGCTCAGAGAGCTCGAGTGACCTGCCCGCGGCGCACAGCCGTCTTGGGGCAGAGGGGACGCACCTCAGCCTGAGTCAGCCTGTTCCCTATCCGCAGAGCTCCCACATGCCAGGGGACCAGTGAGCAAGGTGGGATCTGTGGGTACCGGGCCTCAGTCCCTCGGCACGGCCGAAGATTGCGTGCAGGCAGGGCTCCCCAGGGCCTCGAATGTGTGGGCAGGTTCTGGGGCCCTCAGGGTGGATATGGGGGTGGCTGTGTCCCCATGGACACTAGGGATGGCCGAGACTCCCCATGGACATACAGACCCCTAAAGGGTCCATTCAAACGTCTACTAACACAAGGTCGCCAACTGCCATTTGGGGGTGCTAACTGCCCCCCAACACTGTTGTGAGGTTTCACGTGGGTTCTCTCAGCAAATGCCCACCAGGCGCTATGCAAAAAACCGTGGCCATGTGCCCTCGTCTCACACTGGAAGGGGCAGACGCGCAGGGGAGGGTGGGAAGCAGCCCGGAGCTGCCCAGGGCGTGGCCTGGCGCCCCGCGGCCCCGCTGAGGTCCAGGCAGGGGGCCGGGCGCGGAGCTGGGGCTGGGAAGGCTGCAGTGAGCCTGGGACTGCCAGGTGAGGGCTGGCAGAGCGCCCCAAGGCCGAGTCCCACCCTTTTCGGCCAAGTCCCCTGTGGCCACGGGCTGCAAGGGCCTCCCACCTGTCACTGGGTCAGGGCTGTCCAGAAACCGGGCCGGCTGCCCCTTTAGCTGGAGGCTGAGTGGAAACGCCTGGCTCTCCTGGGTCGTGTGCAGCTGCAGGGAGAGAGGACAGCGTGTGACGGGCACGGTGACATCTGGCTCGCTGAGGGAGGGGATGTCGTGGGAGGGCGAGGGCCAGGCTGTCGGGGATGGGCGCCAGCAGGGGGAAGGGGTGAGAGGAGAGGGCGGTGTGCCGCACCTGCCCCCCAGCCACACCACTCACCACCACTTGGCTGCAGCGGACAGCTGACTCGTTCACCCACACTGCCTCGAAGCTCTCCTCCAGCCCAAAGCTACATTCTAGGGCCGCACCCTATGGGAGAGGGGGCGGGTCAGCACCTGCGGCCCTGCAGCTCACCAGCACAGCCTGCACCGCTGCCCGGGAGCTCCGCCCGGGCTGTGGCCTCCTCCGGAGAGACCACGGACACTTCCAGAGCTGGAGAGGCAGGGTGGTGACCGGCCGGGGCTCTGGGTGTGATGTCCGTGCCACTAAGCCCCTCTCTCCCATCCCCGGGGCTCTAAGCTCACGACTCAGCTCATAACGCCAGGACGCTCCCGCGTGACTGACGTCCGGGGTCCGCCCCGGAGCCCCACGCCTGGCCACACGAGCTTCTCTCACCACCACGGACCAACGTGGCCCAAGTCCGTCCGTCCTACCCAAACAGCTGCCGCCCGTTCCCCCCCCCCCAAATTTAATACAGAAGTCAAATTCCCACGCAAACGCCCCAGGATCCCCAAAACGCCCCCAAATCAGGGGGTGCCCCTCCATTCTGCAGTGAGCCGTGGGTGTGCGCTGGGGGCCGGGCCAGGGTCTCACCCCACGTCTAGCCCACCCTTCTCTCCTGGCCCAGCTGTTTACCGGTCCCCCACTGCCGGTGAGTCTCGGGGCTCGCTCTCTGCCAGGGGCAGCCGACGGCAGTTCGAACAGCTCCGGCTCCAGACTCAGGCTCAGATCCCACCTCAGCTACTCCCTAGCTGTGTCTCTAGCTGCACACTGGTGCCTAATCCAGGCGCCGTTACGAGTATGCAGGAGGTGCCCAGTTAATGCCTGCTGACTGGATAAGCAGGGCCCCTCCCCCAGCCCCAACTTGCCCTTGGCCTCACACAGACCCCCAAGGATTTCGCGCGTCAGGCCGAGCCCGCCGGCCAGGCAGAGCTCCCGTCTGCCCCTGTGGCTGCGATGTGACTCCCTGAGGAGCGAGCAGCCGCAGGGCCCTGGCACCGCCAGCTGAGGCTAACGGACGACAGGCTGACACCTGCAGCTGGCCCTCTGTGCTGAGCAGGAGGTGCGTCTGTCCTCAGGACAGGGGTCCAGCCTGTCCTAGGGCCCCCCAGAGGCAGGCTCAGCACACAGAGCCCAGGGGCGTCTCTGGCCACCCGCCCCCTCAGGGTCCCCTCCGGAGCAGGCAGACGGGGTCACGCCCAGTCACCCAGTCACGCCAGGAAGCAGGGCCGGGGCCCCAGCCGGGAGCAGCGCTCTCCTTCCACGGCCGGTCACTCCCGGGGCGCTGCCTGCCCAGGGCCCCCCACCCGTCCTCCCACACGTCCCAGTCGCCCGGCACGTGGCCCCCACGTGTGACAGCCGTCACGGGCCTCAGCTCCCCGTGGAAGCGCCAGATGGCGAGTCCCCAGGAGCTGGGGAGGGGGTGGCTGGCAGGCCTCCAGGACTCGTCAACACTCCTGCAGGAGGGGCCCCGGGGGGCTGCATGCCGCCCCCCACCCAGATGGGCGAGGGGGAGGGGCAGGCTGTGGCAGGGGAGAGCACTTGACAGGGAGTCCGGGGCCAGGGTTCTAGACCACACATGTGACCCGATCCAGTCCCCCTTCCTGGGCTTCCCTGACCCAACCGGACAGCGGGGAGGGGCGGCCACGGGATGGCCTGGCCACTCTCACCAACGAGGGAGGTGGCTGCAGGGTCACGAGTCTGCCTGGTGCAGGGCCCCGCCCACGGGGTCACAGGACCTGGTCACCACCTGGTGCTGGCTGGGGGCGGGGGCCTCGGGGGGCTCCCACCTGGGTCCCGGGGTCCGGCCAAGGCACTGTCATACTTCACCCCCCCACCGGGGCGCCCTCAGGAGCTGCTGTGGCCCACTGTCGCCCAGGGCCGGCCCTGACCGCCCGCGCCCCTGTCTGCGCCCCGGCTGGCGAGAGAAGGGCTTTCTCAGACCGAATCTGGGAACTTGGGGGGGAAGCAAGCGCGGCGTGGAGCTCTGCGTGGGGACCCCAGCCCCGAAGCTGCTCCCCTCGGCCCTCACTTACCTGGAAGGCGGCGGCGTTGGCCACGGGCACCAGGATGCTCTGGGCGCCGCCCGTGGGCACGGGGGCCAGGGGCGCAGGCAGGGTCTGCGGGCAGTCCCGGGGGCTCTGCACCCAAACACAAGGGGCGGCGCGTTTCAGGAGACGGGGCTCGGCCCCCCGGGGGCAGCGGCGTCAGGGCCGGCGGCACCCCGAGGTGCAGCCACAGCTGCCTCCAGCTTCACGACTCCGCGCAGGAGGTTTGTTCCCTTTTTAATACCGTAGTTGATTTTTACGTCATTTTGGGCCTTTTTCCAGCTCAGCTGTCACCCCGTGGGCTTCCCGTCACCAGTTCACCCGTGTGCCGCCACCACAGTCCAGTGCACCCCACTGCCTGCTCCACCCCCGTAAAATGTCTCTGGCATATGGCTGTTCACTATTATTATTTCTTCGACGGGCAGGAGGTTCTATTGGTGCCATTACAGGTGAGCAGACTGAGGCACCCAGAGGTAAAGGGACCTGCCTGGTGGTGGAGGCTGCTGCCTCCACGGGGGCCAGAGGCTAAGGTCGCAGCCCCTCCCACCTTGGCCTCCCGCTGTGGGGAGCAGCTGCACCCCATCTCTGAGAGCCACCTCTGAAAGGCGGCTCCAGGCTGAAGGGCGCTGTGGACTCGGGGAGGACGCCCCGAGCAAGCAGCTGTGGGGACCGATGCCATCAGGGCAGCCCCACCCGCTGCCCAGAGCAGGGGTGGACGGGGCCCTGGCGAGCCACACTGGTGCCACCCTGCTGCTGCCCAGGCCTGGCAGGCCATGACCTGGGCTAGAGTCAGGCCAGGAGACGACCCCACCCCACTTTACAGACTACGCTGAGCGGGGAAAACAAAGCAGTTCGTCCAGGCCGGAGCGGGCAGCACCAGAGGTCCTAGCTGTCCAGCTGTGAGCGACCACCGGGGCCCAGGGGCCGGGCCTGGCTGGGGCCTTGCCGGGTGCTGTGCCCGTGGCAGGAGCTGTGCCCGTGGCAGGAGCTGGGGCCTGATGCGGTGAGTGACGCAGGTCGCTGCCCCTCCCCACGGCTGTCCATCCGCTGCCATCGCGTGCGTAACCCCCCTGGAATTTTAGGGAACAGAGCCCACGTGCTTCCAACCGGCGTCTGTGGCTGCTGCCAGTTCTGCTCTGCAGCTGCCGTGGGGCCCTGTGTGCCCTCCCGCTCTCTCCACCCGTGGGTCAGTGGCCAGCAGGGGTGGGCAGTGAGGACCAGGCAGGGGACCCCCACAGGAGCTCCCCGAGAGGGAGAGGCCTGGGGCCACCCCTAAGGCACCTACTCCCCTTGACCCTGAAGCCGAGGCCGCATGGTGCTTGAATCCGCCCCCCAGAGTGGAGCTGGCCGAGCGTTGCAAGTCCCTGCGCCGTGCGCTGCGGGGCCGGCTGACCTCCCGCCAGCTGCTGCTGCCTCCAGCCCCCTCTCCGAGTGGCCTCAGCCTTTGGGGAACCTCCCTCCCAGGCCTGTGGTTGGAAACGCTGACCCTAGTGGCAGGCGTGGGTGGGCGCCTCTGGCCCACGCTGGCCTCGGGGCTGTAAGTGACCCCTGCTCAGCCAGAGAGGCGTAACTATGGCACTTCTGCAGAATCAATGAAAAAGAGAAACCTGTGATGTTGCCTGATGGTGGGGGATGGGCAACCTGCCTGGGGTCGTCCCTCTCACAAGGGAGGGTCTGCCCAAGCATGGAGCCCACCAGAAGGACAGGAGGCCCGATGACACTGCTGGGCCCCTGCATCCAGCTGTGCCTGGAAGGGGCTTCCACCCCGACTTCACACCAGGAGCGAATGGCCAGGGTGAACGAGGACTTCCCTGCTGGCATCAGAACCTGCCTCTTCCATCCACACCTCAGAAAGAGGCCACGCGCTGGGCAGGCCAAATCCGCAGGCTCGGGAAACTACAGGTGACTGACCACACTCCAGGCAGAGCCAAAAAGGCAGGACGCTGGGCGCAGGGACACACTCGGGCAGCAGCTCCGGGGGCCGCATAAACCTGGGTGAGGGCCCGGCACGCGTGGACTCCCAGAGGGCCCCCACCCCACCCTCAGAGCAGAGAAGGAGGTGCCGGTGGCTCCCTCGTGGGACACTCAGGCTGCAGGAGTCCTCACAGCTTTCTCGAGGATTCTCCCAAATTCGAGCACCAAGAATCTTCAAAGGCAGCCCCCCCACCCCCCCTGACTCCAGCGCTCAGAGCTGCAGACCTGCAGGGGGTAATTCACGGGGCTGGCGAGCACCTGTGCCTCTGTCTGGCCTGGTGCAGAGCTCCCTCTGCAGAGAGGGTCTCCCTGGCCCGCCCAGCAGAGTGACCTGTCAGTGAGCAACACTGTGCCAAGGACGGAGCTGGCGCCTGGCCGGTCTAACTCCAGATTTGGCCTTGGCCTTTGAAGCGGGCCCCACTTTTCAGCTGGGGTCACAGGTGGAGGGATGGTCAGTGGCTTGCCCAGGGTCACACAGCCACAGGTCACACCCCAGGCATTTGGCTCATGACAGGGACAGAACCGTGGTTAGCGGGGTACAACAGGCACTTGCTAAGTGCTGAACGCACCGTGTTGAGGCTGGGGCCTCCTTGCCCACCCCCCAGGTTGGGGTGCAGAAGCAGGCTGCCCGCATTCCACGCTCCCCTGTACCAAGTCCTGGCTGCACACAGCCCCGGGCGGGGGGGCGGGGGGTGCTGGGCAGGTGCAGACCCCAAGACAAGTGCAGGGGTCCTGGTTGGCCGGGCATGGAAATCACGGCGTCCAGCCCGCGGCTCGGGGGCTGCCCCCCACTAGTGCGTCGGTGCTTTGAGGCAAGCCTTGCTCTGGCCGGCTCCTCTTCCTTAAGCACCGCTGAGGCTCAGGCCAGGACCCCTCCCGCGGGTCTGCCCCTTGCTTCGCGATTCCGAGGGACGCCTCTGCAGACGCCTGGGGACTGGCGCTGCTTCCGGTCTGCGTGCCAGGGTGCGGGGCGCCCAGGCTCCCGAGGGTAAGCTGGCCACCTCCTCTGCCCTGCCTGGAAAGTGTGCAGGAGCGTTTCTTCCCTGGAGAGAGGAGCTGCCCCACCCCGGCCCCTCACGGGCCTGACACGAGCCAGATCTAGCCGAGAGGAGCTCTGGACTCAGGAGCCCGGCCCCATCCCGGGCCCGGCAGCCTGCCAGGGCAGTCTCAGCAATGCCAACTGCTCTTCCCTGGCACAGGCAAAGGCGAGACCCGCCCGAAACCAGCCAGCCAGGGGCAAGGTGTGCGCCTCTCCCTTTGTGTCTGCTCCTGGTCCCCTCTCCCTGCCAGCTGGTGCAACTGCTTAAATCCAGCCTCCTGTACCTCCAGGCCGGGCCTGGACCCCACGGGGGTCAGAAGCACCTCGAGGCCAGCTCAGACGCCAGCCCAGGAATATGGTGGAGCAGGGGCCACTCCCGATTTGGGGAAGTGGGGAGCACACGGGCTTCAGGCCAGATGCGCTTGGATTAAAGGCTCAAATCCAGAGCGCCCTGACCTCAGGCCACAGCCCTGACGCCCCCACCAGCATCATGCCCCCTGTGCAGAGAAGGGCTCTCCTCCTGCAGGCTCTCTGGAGGGGGCTGAGCTAAGGGGTCAAGCTGTCACCCCAAAACACCAAGTCGAAGACTCAGTCTCCTGGCAGCATCAGGGAGCTGCGAGGGCCCAGGCGCCACCAGAAGCAGGGCCCAGGGCGGTCGGCGTGGTCAGCCGGGGCTGTTCGAGCACACAGCTGTCGGACAGAGAGTAGGACTCACGTTTAACGACGTGCACGTGCCCTGAGCACGTCAAGCGGGTGGGGAAAGGGCAATCAAACAGTGGAGCGGGGGCACCCCAGCCTGGGGGCCGGGCTTACCGTGGGGTTCGGGGAGGCCTCACACCGGGACTGGTTGGAGACGCAGGCATGCTGCTGGGTGCACCAGAAACAGGGCCACCGCGCCGACAGGCAGCTGGTGCAGCTGGAAGACAGGGGCCCTCAGCCATGTGGCTCCACCCCCGCCGCCCCTGCTCCCAGGAGCCGGGCACAGCAGCAGGGCTCAGCACAGGGTGCTGGCGGGAGGCCTTGGGCCCTTTTAGGGTAGGGAGCTCCCTGCTGCAAGAGGTATGTGGGGAACAGACTCGGGCCTGCAGGGGACCGGCTGAGCAAGCAGCTCTTCTGTCTGCCCCAGCAGCCTGGGAGCCCCCGGGGGCCGGGCCCTGGGCGAGGGGAGCACGGCGCGGGGCCTGCCTGCCTCTCCCGTGGCCTCCTGGAGGCCAGAGACCCCTCTGGGCTGCTCGGTTGGTCCTAGCACCCAGAGGCCAGCCCCGGGCCACTCACGCCGTGTGGGGGTACACTTCCCCGGTGCGGCTGCAGTCGTAGATGGTGAAGGTGGCCCCGACGATGTTCCGCCCGTTAACCCTCACGGCCATGTCCACGGTCACGTGGTCTGGAATGGATGGGGAGGCCAGGGAGAGGACGAGGGGGCGGGGTCACCAGGCCGTGACAGCAGCAGCCACGCCCGAGGTGCCATCCGCCACCCCCTCGGGGCTGGCCCGGCCGAGGGACCCCGCCAGCAGTACCCCAGCCCAGTGAGGGGTGCGGACCTTGGTGGGGTGGGAAGGGCGGGAACTGGTCCCGGGGCAGGAGGTTGCAGTAGGCCATCTGGTGGTGCCCGACGGCCGGGCCCGGGACCCGGGCCACAGTGCGGGTGCTGTTCCCGTAGTCACAGGTCATCTCCATGTCGCTGAGGCTGGGCAGGCTGCCCGAGATCTGCAGGATCATGCCCTGGGGGGACGGACCCTCAGCTGGGGTGCAGCCACTCCCCTCAGCCCGCCCCACCCTGGCAGCCCTGGGGAGGGAGGTGGGGGAGGACTCCAGCCAGAGGACGCACCCCACCGGTCACCCTCTGGGCCTCCGCCTCCCTTCTATGAGATGAAACTGACCATCTGGAGGGGCCCGGGAGGCTCCCCGTGACTCCTCTGGCCCCCGACATCTCTCTAATAGCATCACGTCCAAGACTCTGGCGCAGGGCATCCCGGCAGCGCCCTCCGAGATGCCCACCTTGGCTCAGGCCACGTGGACGGCGACCCCACCCTGACCTGGTCTGGCACGTCTGCACGCCCTGCTCTGAGTGACTCCGCCCCCGGGTCTGCTACCACCTTCTCCGCGGTGGTAACACCAGCTTAACGCTCGGCCTGCTTCTTCTCTTCCCCAGAACCTGCCAGGCCCTGCAGAGCCGGCGGTGTCTGTGCTGTGATGAGCGACTGGACACTAGTCTCAAGCTGCACCTGCACATAGTAGGTGCCCTGGGCACCGGCGGGTGATGGGCAGACGCGCCCACACCCAGCCACCTGCGGAGCCAGACGGGAACGGGGGAACGGGCTCTGTGCATGTTGGCGAGAGGCACGGAGGAGGCCCCGGCCCCGCTGGGTGCTCAGAAAGTGTCCTCAGAAGCTGTCCTCCCCCGGGTGACGGGGGAGGACAGCCAGCCTCAGAGACGCCCTTGGGGTGGTGGGGGGCCTGTCCGTCCCAGCACCTCCCCCAATCTCCAGAGTGGAAGGGGGCTTGACCTTGACTTTCCAGGCCGCCCTGGGCATGGGCAGGGGCAGGGCACCCACATCTGCTTCTGAGCAGGAGCCGGGGACTCACGGGGTACTCCTGGTGCACGTCGATCTCGGCGGGCAGCACGCTCATGGTGGGGCAGCGGCCCGGGCCCTCGCTGGCGCTGGTCCAGAAGTGCGGCTGGCTGGAGTTGGCGCAGTCCCGCTGCAAGGCGCACCTGCGTGGCCAGGCAGGTCAGGCCCCGGGCCGCGGCCGGCCCCCCCGCCCCGTCCCGCGGGCCTCACCGGGTCTCCAGGGTGCACCAGCCGCAGTAGGCGTCGGCCGCCCCCACGCAGTCCCCGCAGGTGCTGTGCACGGCGCACGCGGCCACCCTCACCCGGGCCATCTGGGGGCAGAGGGCGCTGCTCAGGGAGGCTGCCGGCCCTGCCCGGCGTCGGTACACCGGAGCGGGAGAGGCCGGAGCTCGGGGACAGGCTCCCCCAGAGTGTCTGCACTCGGGGTGATGGTCGAGCTGGCAAGGGGTGTCTGGGGGAGAAGCAGCGTGTCCGAGGCAAGGTGAGCGAGGGATCTGGGTGCCGGGGTGGCCTCACCTGGTGGGACGTCATCAGGTAGAGGTAACTGGGGTCGGCTGGGTCAAACTGCATGACGGGGTGCACCGGCTCCCCGTAGGCCACTGTCACCACCCGCCGGCTCACCACCTGCATGCTCTCGTCCAGGTTGATCTGTGGGGGCAGTGGCCATCAGTGGCCATGTGCGGGGGTGCCCACAGCAGGGGCAGGCCAAATGTGGGGGCTGAGGATGCACCCCCACCTTCATGCCCGGCATCTCCCCCACGGCTGCTAGTTGAGGGGCTCCCACCCCCTCCCCAGGCCGTGGCTTCTGCCCAGGCAGCCGAGGGAATTAGATTACGGGGTCTGAGTCAATTAGGCGGGCCTGGTGCTGGATGGCGCCGCGCCAGGCAGCTGACTTTCCTGACAGAGGAAGCGGGGGCCGAGGGGCACCTCCAACCTCACCTGGGGCCCCACCGAGTCTGTCCTGCCCACCATGGGGCAGCCAGATCCTGCTGGGCCTGCCTGGCTGTGGCTATGGCCGCCTCTGGAAACCAGTGCCCGAGCTGGGGGGCCAGCAGTGGGGGGGGGTGAGCTCCGCCGGCACCCAGCCCCACCTTGAGCAGCCGCCCGCTGGCCGTGCCCAGGAAGACCACCGTGTAGTTGCTGACGCTGGCCACGGCCACGGAGGACAGGCCCGGGGCTCGGAACACGGGCGTGGCCTTCAGGGGCTGCAGGATGGACAGTGGGTGCTGCAGGTGGGCCGCGCCACAGTCGAGCTGCTCTGGCTGCAGCTGGGAAAGAAACAGCAAGTCAGAACTCGGTTCTGGAACCTTCTGCTCCCTGGCTGGCTGGCAGCTCTGCCTTCAGCATCATTGCTTTGTAGTCTTGCTCCTGCTTTAGAGGTTCAGCTCTGCACTGAAGCCCAGACACCGCGCGTTCCTGACCCCAGACTGGCTGTGACCGTGGTCTCAGTTGTGAGCTGCCCCAAAGGGATGGTCAGGCAGGAGGACATGTGTGAGGCACAAGGTCGGGCGTGGCGGGCCCAGGGCATCAGGACGGGAGGAGCTGGGAGCTGCACCCGCCCCCCGCTGGGCCCCACCGGGCAGACCTAGGCGTCCAGACCAGACCTCCAGAAGCCATCCTCACGCCTCCTGCCACGCTGCGTGTCCATAGCAACCACGGTGCTTCCTCCTCCCAGGCCTCCACTCACCCCGCACCACCCAAAGCCCCAGAAGTCCACCAGCCTCCGACTGAAGCCTGCCCCAACTGGGGCCCCTCCTCCCCGGCGCACGGCCGGATACCACGCACAGCAGACAGCAAACCCAGGCCCAACACGTCTCAGCACAGGGTGGGCAGTGCCCTGGCCCTGGCCATTCCCCGGGTCTCTGGGTCCTTTCAAAGTTTCCCTCTGCATTTTCACAAAAATAACGAACAGAACTCGAAGGTGCACTCTGGAGAAGGCAGTGGTGCAAACCCACTACAGTGGCCCTCAAGAGTGGACGGGACAACGTCAGAGGCCCACGAAACTGAGCCCAGAGGGGCCACCCTGCCCCGCAGTGACACCCCAGGTCTGTATCCACCATACAGAGACGTGGGTGCTGAGAAGAGCTTCAGGCTGTCCTGCGGCCATTTTGGTGACACTCGATCAGCCACACAGAGCCACGTTTGCGGGGAGCTGCGCTGGAGCGGCCGCGGCCGCTCCCTCTGAGGGCCTGTGATGGGAACTGAGGCTCGGAGCGCAACCTCGAGCCTCCAGGAGCAGAGCTGGTGGTGGACCGAGTCCACGTTTTGCCCCTGGACAGAGGCCCGCAGCAGCAGCTCTAGCGGGGGCCTGGAGGTCACCAGAGCACAGGCCGGAGCCAGCTGGGGGAGCAGAGGCTGGTTCTGTGGGCGCCTGAGCCGCCCGGGGCCTGCCCAGAACTCAGCGAGGTTTTAAGAGAAAGCCACGGGCGTGGGTCCTTCTGTCGTGGGCAAACGGGCGCAGCCGCAGACCAAGGGCTTCCAGGACGGGGCTGGGGGCTGAGCCTGAGCGCAGGGTGGGTCCTGAGCGGGTTCAGGATGGCTGGGGGTGACCTAGGTGAGACCCCTTCCTTCCCTGGGCCTGGTTTGCGCAGCTCTCAGCTGGCCGCAGCAGCTCCCTCCAGGGGCTGGATGTGGTGACTCAAGAGAGGCTGCGGGCGCCAGCCGAGTGTCCACGGAGCTGCTTCTGCTTCGGCCTCACACCAGCTCTGTCACCAGTGACTGCTGTGAGCAGGGTTTGGGCGACCATAGCTCCCTCAGAGGCTTCTGACCGCGCCTGCCTCTGGCCCCCGTGTGCAGCCCAGCTCCCAGCCCGCCCCCGGGGTCTCCCCCTGTCAGCAGTAAAGAGGCCTCTCTCCAGCATGGAACCCCCAAGGGTTTACGGACACTCAGAAAAAACCCTGAGTCCTAATCCTCCATCAGGCCCCGGGGGCCTTCTGAGTGTCCCCCCACACTCTCTGGCCCTCGCTCTTCCACCCCTCACCCCTGCGCCCCAGCCCCATTTCTGCTCCTCAAACAATCTAAGCAGGACCCGGCCTCGGGACCTCGTTCCCTCTGGGGGTGTCATTCCCCAGACTTGGCTCCCTCTTGGGGTCCTCTGTTGCCCTCATTCTGTGCATGCACAAGTGAGACCCAGGAAAGAGCCCTGCACACCCCACAGCAATGCTGCCACTCCCAGAGGAGGCGAGATGGGAGCCATCAGCGGGCAGGCAGGAGGACGGGTGCCAGGGCCAAGCCTGTCCCCGGGGACAGTTTTCCTAGGGGAAAACAATTCCTCTTCACAGAATATGGATTATTTGCATCATCAAATAATAAACTGTTTTAAAATTAAAATTGCCAGGCCCAGGCCCTCCCTGGTGGCGCAGCGGGTTAAAGCGCAGCACTGAGAAGCTAAAGCCACTTCCCCATGAGTTCGATCCCCGCCTGCCCCGGAGGTGACCACATGGCGTGGCAGACCTCTCCTGACCCGCCCGCTGCTCCCCTCAGCAGTGGACTTCTTCAATCTGCCTGTTCTGCTCCCCACTCTGTCTTGGGTGAAGCCTCTCACCCTCCGCATCTCTGGCCTGTACCAGTTCTGTATGAATAAATAAATAAATCTTTAAAAAAAAAATTGCCGGGCCCTCCCTGGTAGTGCAACAGGTTAGGACGCAGCACTGCAAGCCAGCCACAGCCGCTGCAGTGCGAGTTCAGTCTCTACCCCGGAGGTGACCCCCAGGGCGCAGCAGACCTCTCCTGACCCGCCCGCTGCTCCCCTCAGCAGTGGACTTCATCAGTCTGCCTGTTCTGCTCCCCGCTCTGACTCTGGTGAATCCTCTCACTGCCTCTGCACCTCTGGCCTGTACCCTAGTTCTGTATGCACAAATAAATAATTTTAAAAAATTAAAATTGTCAGCCCTTGCCCAGGGGACGTGGCCTCCCTCCCTGAGCTCTGGAGGGTGGGCAGGAAGGGGTATCCTAGGAGGCTCCCCTGACACTTGGGTTTTCTGTCTTGGGCCCTGAAGGAGGGCCCATTCAGCAGGGTGGGGGTCCTGGGAAAAGCCAGGCCAGAGGCCCAGCTTGGGGTGAGGTGCGGGTCGGGGAGGCAGAGAGGATGAGGGGAGCGTGCAGGGAATCCGGCTCTCGCCTGCCCGCCCTGACGTTCACAAGCCATTAATTCTGCACGGAAGGAATTTTCTAAAAAGCCTTTCCTCTAACTTTTTTTTTTCTTATCCTAAAAATAAAATAAAAAAAAATTTAAAGGAGAAGTGACTCGCTGGCGGCTCTGGAAGATCTGTGCTCCGGGGGGAAGCTGACTCCTCACGCCAGGGAGGTCACAGGACTGCAAGCTGGCTGACCTGGAAGCGGGACAGACAGGCGGGCGGGCGGGAAATGCCTCCCGCTGGGGGAGGGGCTGCAGGCCTGGAAAAGGGGGACCGTGGGCTGGGGACCAGGCTGTTCGTGAGTGCTCATGGCCCCCACCAGACTTGGTCTCCAGGGACATTACCCCGGCCCGCGACCCTGCCTGAAACCCCTCCATCAGCACCAGTTGCCTTCAAGTCTCAGCTTCCCTCTGCCAGAACCCCACTCCAGGGGGGGTGGCCCGCAGCAGCCTTTCCAGGCAGAGGACGGCAGCCCCTCCGGGACCGGGACCCCTCCAGGACCAAAACCCCTCCGCTAGGCCCCGGTTGGTCTTGGGACTGAACCTGGAGTTAAGGCCCTCGGCGAGCTGCTCCAGCTCAGGCCGCTGCCCCACCCGACCCCACCATTTCCCACAGTTCCTTTAATATGGTCACACTTCTCCGCAGGGCTTCTGAGCTTTTCTAATGCTGTTCCCTCAGCAGTCAATGCCCTTCCCACTCCTCTGAGCAGGCAAGTCTTTGGCCCGCTCTCCAGATGTGGCTGAAGAGTCTCCCTCGGTCAGGGGACTCGCTGTCACTCATTCATCACAGCAGCACACATGTGAACTTCCCCAGGGCAGAGATTGTGCTCTGGGTCGGGAGTTTACTAAAGAAAGGAAACAAATTTTGACTAACGTGTGAGTGACTGCATTCAGCTGCTTCCTTTCCGAGCAGAGAGGTTGCACGCCACACCGCAGCATGGTGGAGGCAGGTGCTGGAGCCCAGGAAGACGCTGACGGCTACTTTGGGACCCCGCCAGCCCTCTCGAAGGTGGGCTGCACAACAGCGGCGGGTCTCAGGTCTGCTCTTGGGGTGGGACGCCCCTCCCCACGCTGGCCGCCTCCTGGACCCACGCTCGGCTTCGCCACTCGCCCAGTAGAACGCTGATGTATTGATTTCACTACCAACTGTAATTGTGTTGACTTTCTCTCCCCAGGAAGCCAGTTGGAGCAAGCGTCTCACGAGCGCGTCTCCCAGGCCTCGAGCGTCCTGCCTGCGGGCCCCACTGAACCCCAGTCACCCCACAGGTGGCACCCAAGCAGGAGGCAGCGGCGGGCACCCGGGAGTGCAGCCCCATGGTTCCTTCCCCCTGGGCTTGGGGGGTGAGCACGTTCCTGGCTCAAGTCTTCAAAAACTATGGACTGGTAACCCCGGGAAACTGAGCTTTCTCTGCGGGGTGAACACTGGGGCTATGCCGGGCCCCCCCATTCACCCCCATGCCAACAAGGGAGACTCGGGCCTGCAAAGCACTAATGCGATGGGAGAGCTTGGAGAAGGACCCGGGCAGAGCTTAGCTGAGAGTGAAGCACCAGCTTCGGCTCCTTGGTGTTGACAAACGCCCCAGGGAAGTAGAGGGCCTCGGCACCGGGAGGCCGGGGCGGGGGACGGGCCACAGCGCTACCTTGTAACTTTGCGGCACATCTAAAGTTATTGCGAAACAAAAAAGCTTAAAGGAAAAACCCGCAGCGCCTTCCTCCCCCAGGGCCCTCCCGCAGCGCTGCTTTGCTGCCAGACCCCCCTGGCGGGCTCCCCCCCCCCATCTGACCCTCTACAACCTCGACACCCAGCCCCCAACAATGCTCCTCCTCAGTTTGCATGGCCAGGCCGGCCAGGAGAAGGCCAGGGATGGAGCCGGAGAAGCCGCAGGGCCGCAGGCAAGTGACGGATCTGACAGGGACAGCCTGCGGGAGCCCGGCCAGGCCTGGGCATTGCTCCTGCAAAGCCAGGGTGAGAAGCACAGCCACTCCTCGCCACCCGCCCCCTTCTCCCGAGAAGTGTTCTCAAGGTTGCCCAAGGTCGCCCAGGATCAGAAGCCATACCTGTGCCTCCCGGGCGTGCCCAAGCCCCTCCCTCCCGCCAGCACTGACCACCACGGCTGCGGGCTCGCTGACCGC